CTTTGCTGTGGGTCAGTGCTAATGGACTCTTTGTCCTTGTCATTTCGCTGCAGGAATTGGATAGTCCATTCAGGCTCTATGGACTGACCATGAACCCACTGATCTACAACATCACACGGGTTGTCATCCTCTCTGCTGTCTCAGGAGTGATCAGTGACCTTCTAGGATTCAATATCAGAGTAAGTGTCACTGCAAACCACCAGGAACAGCTCTGGGGTCACTTCTGTACCATTGCCAGATTCCTCCTGCCCCAGCACGAAGGCTGTGGGTTTGCACAGAACACACTGGGTGAGTCTCCACCTCCCTGAGCCAGTTTTGGGGAGGAGGCCAGGGCTGATTTTAGTTTCATCCCTGCTCAGGTCAAGCTGTTAGACTCCAGGGTTTCTTCCCTTTATCCCAGTCCTCCCATGGCTCACCCTGAAATTGGAGCTCACTGAGCAGAGCAGGAGGGGCAAGGGACACTGAGTCTTAGCTGTAGCTGAAGAACATTCACACCTTGAAGATCCAAACTCACTCTCTGTCTCTTTGCAGTTATGGAAGATAAAACCATGAACCGACAGAACATCAGCCCTTGGCCTCTCTCCCAGGGACCAGAGAAGAGAACCAGCAGCATGGGCAGAAAGCAGAAATCTGTGACTGTGATTTTCAAACAGATTCTCAGTGTGTGAGAGAAGTTTTCTCTCTGCTTTACTGTTCTACAACAACCTGAATCGACTGGTCTCATGGGTGAGGTGAAATGAACCCATGGCACAGACAGCTGGACTCATGGGCCCAAGTCCTGGCAGCTGCACTGACACCAGCAGGGACTGGTGTGGGACATCAGACACCACAGCCACACAGGAGCTGTGGCTGGAGGGACACCAGTGGCTGTGACTGGGGCCACACTGCTGCAAACTGGGTGTGTGGCAAGGAGGGAGTCAGCCCTGCCCTCCCCTCCCAGCCAACCTGCCCCAAGCACACTGAAGTATTTCAGATGGATCATCCTTGGCTGCACTTATCTGACTGTGCTGAACAGTATTTCTTTAAGCTCCACGTGCTCAAGGCTTTGCCTCTTTCTCCAGAACCACCTCAGGATGCACCAGGTGAATTCCAGGTCCTGCTGTTGGTTTGTGCTGGGTCTGCTGCGAAGAAATGCTGAGTGTTTTCTGGGAACATCAGTTACAGGAGTAAAACCTTTCAACACACACTACAGGGAAATGAGCTGTAGAAGATTTCCCTGTGTCTCTTCCTGTAACTCTGAGCTCCATCCTGTCCTGCCTGCAACATCAGCTCTGCTCTGTGCTGGGAACAGCTGCTGCAGCCCCAAACTGCAATGGAACCTCACCCTGAACACCTGGGGAGGAAATCTGGGCAAAGAACAGCTCAGGCAACGACTTCCTCAGGTCAGTGTTTAGAAAGGGCATAGGAAAGAAAGAAAACGTGTTAAATTTCCTGTTACATTTCCCTTCCCCTGACTCTAGTGGCTTCTATTTATTAGTAATGAAAAGAGCAAAAACTGAGGAGCTTTTCAGAGCTTCATTCTGCAGGAGAAGAATTGTTGGTAGGAGATTGTTTACAGCTATTTTCTGTACGAGGAAAAGTTGTAAGATATAAAAGGAGATGACAATTTTTCTATAGCAAAATGTACCAATAAACCTTCAGGACAAGTATTTCATCGTTGCCAACTGTTCCTACAGGACTTGGTGACTCTGACACCACCTTTGTGGAATATTTGCTGTTTGGGCAGGGGGTGAAGGAGCCTCCCAGTAATAAAGGGAGTTTGTTTTGCAGAAAAGCAGCAAGTGTGTGGGTAACCCCTGGGTGACACCCCTGAGAGCCAACCCAAACCTGGTCACACAGGGCAGAACCAACAGGCATGAACTGGAGTTTGGTTTTAATATCTATATAAAAAATAATGAGCGATTTACAGGTCTCTCTCTAGTCAGAACCTCAGAAGTCTGTATAAAGGTGCTGTACAATATATAAACATTTACACCCAGTACATCCATACATTGCATTCCAAGGCCACATGGCTAAGTCATCTGATACAGTAAGTACAGGTACGAGGTCTATGGAAGGAGAAATCACACACAGGTAAGACATTATCAGGTCACATTAACATATAGAAAAAATAGAGTTATGGCAGGGGAATCATTTCAGTGGTGCTAATTCATCTGGTATTCAAGGTCCGGAGTTGTCACTGTACTCAGTGGTCAGGGCAAGTGCTCACAGCTCAGCAGAAACCAACCTCTTGGGGAGAACACAGGGGAATATCTACACAGGCTACTTCAAAGTATTAAATAGTTCACAGTCATACTCCACCCAGGGAGTATTTGTACGTGTTATGCTACACAGCAAACCTCAATGGATCACCTGGTGTTGAGCAGCAGAGCACAGTTCAGAGCTGCTTAAAGCCTTTTGAATTCCCAAAGTCTTTGTTTAAGAGCTGTTTGAGCAGTCAGCTGTACTTGTGAAGAATTCCACTCAGAACTGCCTCACTGTGCTTCATTAGCCTTCAAAAACATCCAGTGCTTCAAAGCCAAATGGGAGCTTTGCTCTTGCACTTTCAAAGAGTTTGAATTTGGACTAAATTAAGTAAAGCTCAATCTTTTACACTTCTTTCTCCTTCTGCCAACTGGACCAACAAGGTTCCAGCTCCAGGAGAGGCTGAGGGAGCTGGGGGTGTTCAGCCTGGAGAAGAGGAGGCTCAGGGGAGACCTTAGCACCCTCTGCAACTCCCTGACAGGAGGTTGGAGTCAGGTGGGGGTTGGTCTCTTCTCCCAGGCAACCAGCAGCAGGACAAGAGGGCACAGACTCAAGCTCTGCCAGGGGAGGGTTAGCTTGGAGATTAGGAAGAGATTTTTTAGGGAGAGAGTGCTCAGGCATTGGAATGTGCTGCCCAGGGAGGTGGTGGATTCACCATCCCTGGAGGTTTTCAAGCTGAGACTGGATGGGGCACTTAGTGCCATGGTCTAGTGACCACAGTAGGGTTGGACTTGATGATCTTTTCTTTCCAACCTGGTTGATTCTGTGATTCTATGATTCCTTTTACCACTTTTCTGCACTCATTAAAAACCTCAGATGTCAGGAAATCATCACTAAAACAAGTAAAACAACCCCTTTCAGTCTGAGCTGTTCTTACAGCTGTGGGACTGATATAGCAGCAGGTTCTGGTGGTAACATCTCTCCTTAAACCATCTCTGCTAGCCCAAACCACAGACATTGAGCCTCCTGGACCCTGTGTGTCACCTACTGAGCACTCAGATCACACACTCAACGTGACTATGGAAGAGTTCTAACATAAACAGGCAAGAAAGTCACTCAGGCAGCTGCTCTGGCAGCTGGTTCTGTCTAAGGTCAGTTTTTACCTCTACAGAGGGGAAAAAAAATGCAGTTCTTAACTAGCATTAAGTAATTAAAGATGGGACTTCAGTATCAGCTCCACACGAGGCTGAGGATGTTGAGATGCGACAACTGCAACCAAAGGAGTGATGTTATTAACAGACCCCTGAATTTTCTCTCCTCACACAGCTGTTTGCAAACCAAATCCTGAACTGAGGAAGTCAATTTTGCTGTGCTCAGACCAAGCAAAATTACAAAATTAGGTCAAACATCATTTTTAGCTACAGGGTTTGGTATTAGATATAAAAAAATTCCAGGAAACACATCCAATTGGGCACCATCAGTGGCTCATCTGCTGCCCTGGAACTGATGGAACCAACTCACCCATCCTGACCCAGCAAGAACACAAGTGTTTCCTTACGTAAACATGCAACATGCTCTGGGGAAAACACCAACTTCAGCCCCAACCTGCCTTGTCTGTGACTGGAATCCACGTGGGAAGGAGAAGATTGACTGGATACAGTAGATAACTTGGCACAAGAACAGGAAGTGAGTCAGGACCACATTGGCAATAGAGGCATTAAATAAGGTTGTTGGGAACTCACAGCACTGGGAGAAGCTGCAGCAGTGCAAGGTTGGGAGCAGCAGACACTGCCTGCCAGGGGACACGGGGACAGCAGCTCATGGAAGAGGTTCATTGAAGCAATCCAAAAGGTCCTTCATGCAGCTTAGATAATTTAAGAACAAATCAAATACTTTTCTCTCCCCTCCTCTAACCAGTTTCTGAGAAAAAAAAAAAACAAACAAACCCAGGACAACTGTGTGAAAAGAAACAAAGCTCTGAATGACCCTTAATAGAAACTCAATTAAAACATGTTCTAAAAAACAGTGTCAGTCAGTCACACCCGTTTTCCAGCCACTCCTGCTGCTGGGGTGCCCTTCCACCCCCCAGGGACCCTCCACGGCCCAGGAGTGATCGGTGTTTTCCTCACTGGGGAACTCCTCTCAGACTGGGAAGTTCCATCTTTGGTTTGGTGGGGCAGCTCCATGTGCCTCTCTCCGTGGTGTCTGCTCAGCATCACAGTCTCCTGTGTTTCCACCCACCTGTGTTTCTCCATGGAAAGCAGTGGGATGTTGGAAAGGCTGGAAGTTTTGAACCTGCTGGACCCTGCCTCTCCAGAGCTGGCCTTGCTCAGTAAGTCATCCTCAGAGGCATTTCTCCTGGAGCCCCTGAATGGAAGGGTGTTCCCATCAAACGCTCCGGAGTGTCGCTCTGCAGACCACCCTTCCCTCTTTCCTGCAGTTTTCTGCTTCATGTCTTTCCTGGTGACTCCAGGTTTACCATTTCCACCTTTCAGCTGCTCGACAGTCACCTTATCCTCTGCAGCTCTCCTGCCCATGGGTTCTGTGCTTCCTGGCTTCCCCAGATGCCTTTGGGGACTGGCTGACCTTCCTGGATTTCCAGTGGAATACTCTCTTTTGTCATTATTGTTCATCCCTAGTTCTGTGGGTTTACTCTCACTCCTCCTGGGACTGTCAGGTTTATGTGAGAGCTGGTTTCTCTCAGGATCCCCTTTCCTGGGGCTGTTGAATCCCACCTGAGGGAGTCCCTCAGCAGCCCCTGGCTTTGCTGGACTGGCAGATCTGTCCCTTCTGGTCGCTGCTTCCAAACTACCTTTTTTAGTGATTCCAAACCCAGGACTGGAGGGACATTCCCATCTGTTCTTTGCTCTCTGGGGAGAAGACTGAGGCTTCCTCTCACACTGGTTCTCAGTTAAAGTGCTTATCTTGTCAGGCACAGTGTTCTCTGCTTGTTCCAGTTCCTCAGACAGCTGAACTCTGCTTAAAGTTTCTCCTGGTACTGGGAAATAACACACTTCAGATGGGGAAGCAGAATGGGAAGATGGAGGTAATGGTGACTGCTCTTCATATATTACATTTGACGAAGATGGATTGTAGCTATCCCAATCACCTGGAAGTGAACAGCAAAGAGGTTTGATAAATAACCACACAACGAGCCATAACCACTACATAGCTCTACATTTTAGAGCCTCAGCAGCAAACTATGAGTTCCATTTAGAAAACATTCTGTAGGACATATTCTCAAAGCCTTATTTAGTCAGATTTCTGTCCTGTGCTGTTCTACAACAACCCTGAGGATGTGAGCATGGAAAAACACTCGTGCTCAGAGTGCTGCCTGATCTCTGCAGGGCTGACATGGTCCCAGATCAAAACAATTTTAGAGCCTACACAGCAAAATTTCAAAATAGCAAAGTCCCTGACCTACATCGTTTAATCAAACTAAATGAACTGGAACTGTTACGCTCAAAGAAATCTGAAACAGTGAAAAGTTGAGGTTATTCATAGCTTTGCACTTTAACACTAGGAAGAGATGAAACACAAGACATGCAGATTTACCAAGTCTTTAAGGAAAAACCAAGAAAAGCACTGAAAGCCCTTAATGTTGCTCAGGTTTCACGTAGGGACACAGACTGGAAGGAGCCAAACCTGAAGGAGGAAGAGAAAAAGCCCAGAACTACATACCAAAAAAAATCACAGGGTACAGCAAGCAAGATTTCAATCAGAAACGTGTGATTAACAGCAAGGCAAGAGGCAACACAACCATTCCCACTCCACCACCTCCTGCAGCACATCCCAGGGCCCATGGTGGACAGAGGGCAGGGCCAGATGTGCTCCAGAGGTTCCCTCAGATTGTGTGTGATTCTCCCTCAGGCTCAGGACATTTCTGTGAACAAGAGGCCCAGGAGTGATCCCAGAGAAGCACTGCAGAGCCCTCGTGGTGTGGGATAAACACTGCTGGAATCACACGGAGCTGCTGGTGAGGAGAGAGCAGGAGGTGCCTCCCTCTGTCTCAGAAATGCCTCGTTTTGAAGAGAATCTCACCACAGAAGCACAGAATATCCTGAGCTGGAAGGGACCCACAAGGATCATTGAGTGCAACTCCTGTCCCTGCATAGGTCACCCCAAAGTCCCACCATGTCCCTGAGAGCAAACAGTCCCTGAGCTCTGTCAGCTTTGGGGCTGTGACCAGTGCCCTGGGGAGCTGCTCAGTGCCCAAACACCTCTGGGGGAAGAACCTTGTCCTGACATCCAACCTAACCCTGTTCCAGTGCCCAAACACCCAACCAGAAGCTTCACCAGAGCACAAAGCAGACTGTACTTAGCTCTCCCCCTCGCTGAGGAGGTAATTTGAGGTGAGCAGGCCCAGGCAGGACTCGTGTAAGCTGCCCCAGCACAGCCCTGGCAGCACAGATGGGCTGATTCCATGCCATGGAATTCCCTGATCTCCCTGTGCTGGGCAGGTGGGAGCAGAGGGATGTTCAGAGCCCTCTTCCAGCTCCCAGGAGGAAGGAAATGGAGACAGCTCTGAGCAGATTTCACCCCTTGAGTGAACAGCAGTTGCTGCCTGTAAATGAGCACACAAAGTATTTGGTAGCTCAGACTGTGTTTGGGGTTGGAAAGGATAAACTCAGGGTTGGTCACAGTGATGGAAAACTCTTGATCAGGAAAAGTGACCCTATGGGTTAGGAAGTTTACCAGCAGCACCAGAGGTTAAAGGACCAAAATGCATATTTGGAAATATCTTTGCTTTAAATTGCTGCCACAAGTCTTTGATGTGCAGTTTAGGGGTTGAGTCAGACCCAAAATCATCAGTTCTGAGCTCTGCAACCATTTGCTTTCTGTCCTTTCTTTTTTTAACTGGGCTATGGAATTGTCCTTTCCTGCTGGAGATGCAGAAACCACCTTTAATCCCACCAAATCTCTCTGGAGAGCAAAGCTGTCCCTCTGCTGCTTCCAAGGGTTGGCTTTGGAAAGCAAAGCATTCCATAATTCAGAGCTCTAAACCCAGGGAAGTCAATCTGTGCAGAAACAAGATTGTAACCACAGAGGCATTTTGAACTGATTGCTGCTCCACAGAGAATTTTCATTTCAATTACAAGGCAATCAGGGTTAATCAGCACATTTTTATAGGGCAACTTGATTAGAGCTTGGACAGAGGTGAGAAACTGATGACAAAGAGGCAACAACTTCACACTGTGACATATTCCTACGCACTTGTGTTAGTTTTCACAGAAATATTCTTCATGTTTTGAAATATTTCAACTTTTATCTTGGAATTTATCCTGTGATGAAGGGAACTGCCAACTGCTGCAGGGAAGGAGCAGCAGAGTCTCCTCATCCCACTGTCCTCCCCTGCCTTGGACCCTCAGGACCAAACAGCCCTGGAGACAACATACTGTGATCTGGTATCAATCCAGTCCCTGGTCTCAGCAGCAGCAAAACTTTGTTCCCTCCAGCCTGAATCAGCTCGATGGCTCGTGTGTGAGTGATCCCTTGGGTGGGTTCTCCATTGATTTCCACAATTTGGTCACCAACCTGATGAGGAAAGAGCAAAAAGGTTTAGTCTTGGGGCATCTCTGGCACTGCAAACTGGGTTTTAATTTAGAGGCAAATGCTTCTGTTTAACAACTCTCAGAGGTACTGGGCAGATAATTCCAGCTCGCACCAACCTCCCAGGCTGCTGGAAAGGGGTTGGAATAGCATCTCCCAAAAAAGGGCCGTGAAACCTACTTGGCATTGCACGGAGCAGCCAAGGGATGTCACTGCTGTGTAAGGCGAGTGGCTCACACAGCCTGGCTGGGCTCTGCTAAGTAAACTCTGCCAAAGGAGGTCACTGCTGGCTCCTCATCGGGCAGGACAGGCAGGGACACTGCGACGTGCTCAGCTGCCACCAGCCGGGCGAGAAATTCCTCTTTCCAACCTTAAAGCACAGCCAGACACGGACACCATTTCCAGAGGAGGAGGGAGAAAAGCTGAACGACGTGAGAAGTGTGAATTACCTCAGGCTGGATGAGCTCAGCCTCTCTGTGCTCCCAGCAGAGCTGCTGGGGACACATGGCACATCCCTGCCCAGTGAAGGGTTCAGAGCCAAGTGCTGGGAAGGGGAGCTGGAACAGCTCCATGTGAAATCCCTGTGGGAGCTGGAGCTCTCTCAGCAGGATCCTGCTGCCTCTGCCCCCCCAGCAACCCATGGCACAGCTGTCTGTGCAAAGCAGAGTGCACTGAGCTGGCTCCTACATTACAGTATCACAGAATATTCAGAGTTGGAAGGGCCTACAAGGATCATCATTCCAACTCCAGGCCCTGCCCAGGACACCCCAACACTGCACCCTGTGCCTGAGAGCATTGGCCAAACACTCCGGGAGCTCTGTCAGCCTTGGGGCTGGTGACCACTGCCCCAGGGAGCTGTTCCAATGCTCAACCACCCTCTGAGAGATGAACCTTTTCCTAATATCCATCCTAACCCTGTTCCAGTGCCCAGACACCTCTGGGAGAAGAACTTTTGCCTAACATCCAAACTAACCCTCCCCTGACACATCTCTAGCCATTGCCTGTGTCCTGTCACTGTCCCAGAGAGCAGAGATCAGTGCTGTCCCTGCACTGCCCCTCGTGAGGAAGGTGCAGACCTCAATGAGCTCTACCCTCAGGCTCCTCTTCTCCAGCTGAACAACCTTTTGGCTGCTCTAGCCCAGAAAGCAAAGCCCTGAGGCTCAGTGTGACACTACTTGAAGGAGGAATACAAGAGAAAATATTAGCCCTGAACACGACACTTGTGTAGTCTCTCAAGGATGAGGGGAAAAAGCTAATTGCTGTGAAGAACAGGATAAGAGAAGTTAACAATACTCAGAATTCCACAGCCAATTAAGCCTCACAGCAAGGATCTGTGTCAGCTCCATCCTGCAGACACAGCACAAACGGAGGCAGAGCCTTGTGCCAGCAGCCACATGTGCAGGGCAGCACCAGGATGGCATCTCATGGGCACCTGGCTCAGGTCAATGCTCCAGCCTCTGAAAATCTACCATCTCATGGGCACCTGGCTCAGGCCAGTGCTCCAGCCCCTGAACATCTACCATCTCATGGGCACCTGGCTCAGGCCAGTGCTCCAGCCCCTGAACATCTACCATCTCATGGGCACCTGGCTCAGGCCAGTGCTCCAGCCCCTGAACATCTACCATCTCATGGGCACCTGGCTCAGGCCAGTGCTCCAGCCCCTGAACATCTACCATCTCATGGGCACCTGGCTCAGGCCAGTGCTCCAGCCCCTGAACATCTACCATCTCATGGGCACCTGGCTCAGGCCAGTGCTCCAGCCCCTGAACATCTACCATCTCATGGGCACCTGGCTCAGGCCAGTGCTCCAGCCCCTGAACATCTACCATCTCATGGGCACCTGGCTCAGGCCAGTGCTCCAGCCCCTGAACATCTACCATCTCATGGGCACCTGGCTCAGGCCAGTGCTCCAGCCCCTGAACATCTACCATCTCATGGGCACCTGGCTCAGGCCAGTGCTCCAGCCCCTGAACATCTACCATCTCATGGGCACCTGGCTCAGGCCAGTGCTCCAGCCCCTGAACATCTACCATCTCATGGGCACCTGGCTCAGGCCAGTGCTCCAGCCCCTGAACATCTACCATCTCATGGGCACCTGGCTCAGGCCAGTGCTCCAGCCCCTGAACATCTACCATCTCATGGGCACCTGGCTCAGGCCAGTGCTCCAGCCCCTGAACATCTACCATCTCATGGGCACCTGGCTCAGGCCAGTGCTCCAGCCCCTGAACATCTACCATCTCATGGGCACCTGGCTCAGGCCAGTGCTCCAGCCCCTGAACATCTACCATCTCATGGGCACCTGGCTCTGCTCCACGCTCCAGTCCCTGAAAATCTACCATCTCATGGGCACCTGGCTCAGCTCCATGCTCCAGCCTCTGAAAATCTATCAGCTGCATGCTGATAGATTTTCAGAGCACCTGGCTCAGCTCCATGCTCCAGCCTCTGAAAATCTAGCTCTGGGCAATAGCCACAGTCTCACATGCCATTGTTCTTTGCTCTTGCAACCATGTATTTTGGTTTTACTACAACACCTGAATTCCTTACACAAACAAGAATTAATATAGTACTTGGAAAAAAAAAAAGGTTTTTATGTCCATCTCTGTCCAGTTTGAATGTCCAGAGCTGTTTAGGTGTCTCCTCCAACAGCCCAGAGCCACAGCACTGCTGTCCCTGCACAGGGACAGCTGCAAGGAGGGCAGAGGCCTGGATGGTTCTGGGACCTGGATGGTTCATGAGAAAACCAAGTTTGTTGCCACTAGGGGCAAATTAATGTGTCAAAATGCCAAGTGGACCAAGGAATGGAGCAGAGGCCAAACTCACGTGCACTCGCCCGTCCTTGACCGCGGGGCCATCCTCGGCCAGGCGCAGGATGAACAGGCCCATGTTGTACTCCTTTCCCCCTCTCAGGCTGAATCCAAACCCTCGAGGGCCCCTCTCCAGCTCCACTGGGAAACAGCCAGGACTCTGTGGGGAGTCAGAGGGAGAAGGAAAGAAATAGGCATGAGGCCCTGTAGGCACATTGAAACGTTTGTTTTCCTGTATTTTGAGACTCTAAACTGAATTCAACCAGCTCAGGTGTGACTGTGGGTAATGGTTTCATGCTAAGGCTAAACACACACAACATCTGTGGTAGCTCCATTACAACCGGTTTCTGTTCCTTTTGTCATTGTAATGAGAATTCAACTACCCCATAACAGTTAAAACATGAGCAGAACGATCTGTGAGACACTTCAGTGCATGTTTACACACAACTTTTCCATCCAGATCGGACAGGGCGATGATTTATTGCTCTGCTTTCGAGCACTCCATGGCAATGCCACTGCAGTGACCTGATGGATGAGTGTCCTGCTGTCTCCACTCCCTCTGGGTGGATCCCTGTACCTGGGAGTGACGACTGCCAACGACTGCAGCAGCTCCAGCATCCGACTGCACCACGTGCTTGTGCTCGGGCCAGGACAGTCGGTAAGCACCAGAAACCTCCTTCCCAGCTTCACCTTCTGTAGCTCCCCTGAGGAGAGGTGACAGGATGTGGATGTTACCTTCACAGGGCTCCCTCTGGCCAGTTCCTGCTGTTCTCAGCCCCTCTCCCCAGGCCCGAGCTCTGTACCTGTCGGTGCTGAGCTGTGCTGGCCCCAGTGCTCGGTGCTGCGGTGCTGGGCTCTGCCTGGCTGAGTTTGTCCCTGATGGAGGACCACGGTGCTCTGCAAAACAACACCAACAGTCAGGGCTTCCCCACCCCACAGACAGCACCACCAGTGCTGGAGCTGCTGCTCCCAGTGCTGGAGCTGCAGCACCTTGGGCTGAGCTGAGCTCACTCACACACACACACAGGGAGAGGATTTTCCGAGCCAGGGACACAAGTGCAGCTTGCTGGTTCCATGGAATGCAATTCTAGGAATTTTGTTCTTATCTCTGCTGCTTTTCCTCAGGAAACAACATGATCTTAACAGATCCTGACATGGACAGATGGATTTTAGCCTGTCTGCAAGGTGATAAAGGCCAGGAGGGATCAGAGCTGGTCAGATCCAGGAATTGGTTTGGATGTTTGATACAATAACATTTTTAAGAGATGAAGAACAATGTCCATTTGAGAAATAGCCCTTTGTAAAGGTAAAGGAATGAGGATCTGCAGGAGCAATGGGAATTAGGAGGTGAAGGCCTAAACTGAGTTTAAGGCACAAGGAGAGTTTGCTGCTGCCCAGGCAAGGTGAGGAACTGGTCCCACAGCCTCACTGAGGGCACAGGTTCACTGGCAGGTTAGCAACAGGAATCTTGAAGTGTTTTTCCTTCTCCAAAAAGCTAAGTAAAAATTCAAGTATCATAACCATTTAATAAAATCTTTTAACATAGCTTATTTTCCCTCCCACAGAAAACACAGTGGCTATGCACTCTATAATAAATCCAGTTCATTTATGAAAAAAAAACTGTTTCAGGATACAAAATCACTGTGCCTTAAAAGCATAAGGAGCCACAGTCTGTGCAAAAAGCTGCCTCTTAGCTAGAGCCTGAATGGCAAAGAGTGGCCCAAGCTGAACTCATGTCCTGAATTAGAAGCTCCAACTCCTTTCCCTTAGAAGGGTTAAGAAAATAAACCCAAGCACCAAAAGCAGAGATGTTCCAGCTCTGTTAGGTGCAGCACATCACTGCTCTGCTCAGCCAAGAACAAACAAGCTCCATTAAAACCTAGGAATTGTTCAAGCATCTTAAGGAAAGGGAAAACAAAGCATATTGGACTGAATTTCTCAGGTACACAAGACCTCCTGAGCTCTGCTCAGGACTGCCTGGTGCTATTCCTAGGCCATGCCTTCAAGAGGTTTTTCTCTAGAGACACAAAATGTCAACTTTTACTCCTGGTTTATCCTCCGATTTTTAATTTAGAAGCACAGGCAAGAAAAATGCCATCTGTTTGTACAAATCCTGCAGCCCTCTTTGCAGCCTGCTCCAGCTCACACATGACAAAAGCTGACAGGCTCCTGCCTCTGTGAGAAATGTTAGAGAATCTCTTCTGGCGCATGAAGGGGAATTCATTTCTGCACATGAAAAGCAAAGATCACAGGTCTGAGAGAGCTGGGAGGGAGAGGGAAGGGGACAAGGCACTGGTCTCAAAGGACTGGGGAACAGCAAACCCTGCCAGGGTTTGTGCTTTGGGAGAATGAACAGCTCCTGGCAAAAAAAGGGCATTTTGCTGTTTGGAGCTGCATCTTCCTCGGCGTGAAGCACCTGAGTGAGGCTGAGCTCTCCCTGCAGTGCCTCAAGGCCTGACTCACTCCCATCCACGCTGGTTTGCTGTGAGCTACACTCTGTTCCTGCAGCTACATCAAGGAGCATTTGAGAGTGCAGATATATTCCCACTCCAGTGGAAGAGGTTCTGCTTCTTTCTCCTTCGTTGTCACAAAAATCCTTTACATCTCACACACACCAACTGCAGCTCCCCTAAGCCACAGATTTTTCCTGACTGATCTTCACTCTGGTTTTACCACCTGCTGCTGAGGAGTTTTTTTTCCCCCCTTGCTTTGTTGAGCCTCTCCAGGTTCTGGTTTTATCTCTACATTTTGGCTTCAAATCTGTAATGGAGGCAGTTCTGACACAGAGTCCAGGTAAGGTCATGCATAAATTATTGCTAAAAACATGATAATCAGCAAACTTGTTCTGAAAACACAGTGGAAGGTGTTGCTGCCCATGGCAGGGGGTGGAATGAAATGGTCTTTAAGGTCCTTCCAACCCAAACCAGTGTGGGATTCTCTGATGAAAAGCTGCAGAGAAACAGATCTAATGCAACCAACTTCAGCTGCTTTATAAACATCACCCTGGGCAACTGCTTTGAAGTGTGTCCCTTCAAACTGGAATGAACCAGATTTGATAAAAATACAAATCCTAATAGAAAAATAACAATTTATAGAGGTCTCTCTGCTTCAAGCATTGAGGAAAAGGAACATTAAGTCTTTGAAATTCCATGTTACAGGCTGAGATAGCATGTTAAATATTTGCAATGAATGCGAAATGAGAGAATCATCTCTTGACTTCATTCACTCTCTGGCTTCAGGTATTTATTATTTAAGAGGTGAAGAAAGTCAACTTCTGGCAAAATAACGACAGGGAGTTTAATTAAACCCATAAGCAACAAGGCAGAAAAATGCAGGGCTGGAAAAGAGCTTTTCTCTTCAAATGAGTGGGTTTTACACATTCCTTATGACCTGTTTGCACAGAAATAATCCTGGAGTGCACATGGTGCTGCATGGGAACTGCCACCAAAACAGCCTCTAAAATGGGGCTCACTTTGCTGTCAGGTGACACAGCAGCTGCATGTGAGGGATCTGCAGGAAAAATCCTGCCAAGGCCTTTTTTCCACATGCTGAGACTTTTCCAAAGGGTAGTTCTGGCAGACAGAACCGTGGGATGTTTCTGTTGTATCCCAGGGATGTAGCATTAGGCAATTTGTGGGTTTTAACATGGCAGAAAGGAAAAGCTCAGGGTCTAAATGGAGAGGTTTGCAAAGCAGGAGTTCCTGCAGCCTTGGAGCAGGGACAGAGTTTCCCAGGAGCACCAGCCCCTGTGGGAACAAAGCTCCTGCAGCACCTGCAGCAGCACTGTGCAGTGGGGACAAGATTTGCTCTCAGGAGAGCTCATTTCTCTTTGACTGGAGAGTACAAGGCCTGCACAGGATGCATTCCCACATGAGCAGCTCTACCTCTCTCACCTGAAAAACCATGAGAATTTCTCTCTGCATCGTGTTGTTAAAACTTGCATCTTCTTTTAGGGTATAAACACCTTGGCAGCTGCCTCTCCCTGCCCCACCTGCCTTCAGCTCTTCCAGAGCAAGCAAATGAGCTTCCAACTCATCCAACTTCCAGGAGCTGGACTCAGTGATCCTTGTGGATCCCTTCCAACTCAGGATTTCACTCTCTTTAATTTCCAAACCTCTTCCAACACTCCATTGAAGCGAATGAACTTCAGAAGTGCTGAACACCACTCTGGCAGTGTGGTGACACCCCCATCACCTGCTGGGGCTCCTTACCTTCCTCAGCCACCACAGTGAGGGTGACCACGTTGCCTGCATCCTTGATGAGCTGCACGATGCTGTCGTGGGAGAGCTCCACGATGGACTGGCCGTTCACCGCCGAGATGCGATCGCCCACCTTCAGCTTCCCACACTGGTCAGCTGGGCTGCCCTCGATCACCCGCCCGATCTTGTGGGGAATCACTGGCAACCAACAGAGCACAGCAACACCTTCACCCCCACAGAACCACAGAGGGGAAGGGCCTCGAGGAGCTGACACATGAGGAGTAGCTGAGGGCACTCGGTCTGTTCAGTCTGGAGGAGACTGAGAGGAGACCTCATGGCTCTATGCAACCTCCTCGCGAGGGGAGTGAAGGGGCAGCTCTGATTTCTGCTCTCTGGGACCAGTGACAGGACACAGGGAATGGCCTCAAGTTGTGTCAAGGGAGGTTTGGGTGGATATTAGGAAAAGGTTCACCCCAGAGGGTGTCTGGGCACTGAGCAGCTCCTCAGGGCAGTGGTCACTGACAGAGCTCAAGCAGCATCTGGATGATGCCTAATTGTCCTCACCTTGAGCACTGGGAGCAGTTTGGGGCACCAAGAAAGATCTAAAGCTATTAGAGAACATCCAAAGGAGACTATGAAGGTGGTGAAGGGTCTGGAGGGGCCACACAAGGTGTGTGTGAGGGCACTGGGGTTGTTCAGCTGGGGAAGAGACTGAGGGCAGAACTCATTGGGGTCTGCAGCTTCTTCCTGAGAGACAGCACCAATCTCTGCTCTCTGTGACAGTGACAGGACACAGGGAATGGCTGGAGCTGTGTCAGGGGAGGTTTGGGATGAATACTGGGAGAATGTTCTTCCCCCAGAGGTGTTTGGGCACTGAACAGCTCCCCAGGGCAGTGGTCACAGTCCCAAGGCTGACAGAGCTCCAGGAGTGTCCAGGACAACACTCTCAGGCACAGGGTGGATTTTGGGTGTCTTGTGCAGGGGTTGGAGTTGGACTCAATAATTCTCAATAATTCTTGTGAGCCCCTTCCAATTCCAAATATTCTGTGATTCTCTGAATCTGTGTAGTCTCTGTGATTCTCTGAATCACAGAATATCCTGAGAGCTGGAAGGGACCCACAAAGACCCACAAGGATCACTGCAGTCTAACTCCCAGCCCTGCCCAGGACAATCCCACCATGTGAATGTCAGGTAAGTGTCACACAGATCCAGAATTGCCACAGTCATCCCAGAGAGTGTTGCTGCTCCAAAGGGTGGCAGTGCTAGCACAGGAAAAACCTGCAACTGATGAGGAATGCTTCACTGGGAGTGAAGGGAAATGCCAACTCAACAGCACGGCCTTGTCACGTACAGGGTGTTGTGCCTCAAGGAAAACATGGGAAGGAAATGGGTCACATCTGCAGAGGGATGAGAGGGACTGTGTGTCCCCGGAGTGCTCCAGAGCAGTTGGTTTTGCCACTCAGAATGTAACTTTCCATTTCATGCATCGACCCTGGAGCACTGGGTGGACTCAGAGACTATTATGGGGAAGACAGGCTGAGAAAGTTGGGGCTGTTCAGCCTGGAGAAGAGAAAGTTTTGTGGAGACCTCAGAGCAACCTGCCAGGAGCTGAAGGGGCTCCAGGAAAGCTGCAGAGGGATCTGTGTTAGGAACTGCAGGGACAGGACAAGAAGTGATGGGGAGACATGGAAAGAGGGAAATTTAGATTAGGTATTAGAAGATGTTTTTTCCCTGTGAGGGTGGTGAGGACACTGTCCCAGGCTAGGGAGGCTGTGGCTGCCCCAACTCTGACAATATTCAAAGCCAGGTTGGATGAAGCCTTGAGCAACCTGCTCTGCTGGGAGATATCCCTGCCCAGGGCAGGGGGTTGGGGCTGGATGATCTCTAAGCTCCATCCCAACCCCTGAACACACCATGATTCAGCCACACGAGACTGGGCTGTGGCAGAGCCACCAGGACAAGGCACTTACCCCCAGGAGGAGGTTTGTTCTTGGAGGTAAGGATGACAAAGCCAAAGCCTTCGTTCTCCTTGCGCTGCAGACGCACATCGTACACCTCTGGGCAGGGCTGGTTTGTGAACTCCACGCGATTCGGCCGAGGAGAGCCATTCTGGGCCAGGCCAGGCTGTGCCTCCTCCTCCTCAGCTTGCTTTTCCCCTTGCAGGTAAGAGCCAAGCAGCAAATAAGGAACAAACCACACTGCTGTTTCACCAGACAACACCAGCACAAGTGTGCGGCTTGGGGTTGGTGCCAGCATGGCGTAGCAATAGTGGTCAGTAATCAGAGCAGGGACTGGTGTCAGCTCCAAATCCCATCCAGCTCTGCCAGTCCTTGAGTCATGGGCAATAATCTTGTCTGAACTGCCAATCTGGACACTGATCTAAAAGTGTACAATCAGGGGATGGTGCCCTGGATCATCTCTGATTTGAAGACACTTATTCTAGAGACACACTGATGTCAAAGCCTGAGGCTATGACACGTGGAAGGTGTCCCTGCCCACATCAGGGGCTTGGAATGAGATGAGCTTTAAGGTCCCTTCCAACCCAAACCATTCTGTGATGCACAAAAAGCAGATTGGGTCATTACTCAATTTCCATAGCATTAGTGGCTGTTCTACCTGCAAAAAAACCTGAAGAAATCAGCCCTGAATCCTAATTTTCAGAGCATTCCCTGTGTGAGCAGTGCACATTAGGAAGCAGCAGCTTACTCCAGTCTGCTTTTCTGCACTTACTCAGAGTTCCAGCTGACCCTCCTCACTCTCAGCCTGCTCAGCCATGGTGTGCAACAATTTCAGAGCAGCTTTAGTGGATTTGGCTACAAACCCCCAAGGTTCTTTCCCCAGCTATGTGCCCTGCAGCCCCTGGGGCAGGCAGACACCTACCCCCGAAGAAGATCTTCCTCCGGACGGTGAGCAGCACTTGGCCATTCCGTGCAGCACTGGTCATCAGATCCAGGACCTGCTTGTGTGATTTCCCTTTGACAGGGACCCCATCGATGCACATCAGCTCATCCGCTGCGCGCAGCCTCCCGTCCTTCTCTGCTGCCCCCAGCGGGATGATGGCTCCGATATAAATCTGCCAGCAGAGCACACTCAGGGGCTTTGAACAGCAACATCAACTCATCACAGCACGTAATGCTTGGAATCCAGGTGAATCCAGGCACATCAGGACATTTGGGAAGGTGTTTTTCAAGATTATCTGATTGTCCAACTCCAGCAGAGACACAGCAGAGTGTGCTCTGCATGAGTGACTCAGGGGCACAATCTGGGGATTCAAAACCTTCAGGAAATCATCGAATCCTAGAATCAACCGAGTTGGAAAAGACCTCCAAGATCATCAAGTCCAACCCTACTGTGGTCACTAGACCATGGCACTAAGTGCCCCATCCAGTCTCAGCTTGAAAACCTCCAGGGATGGTGAATCCACCACCTCCCTGGGCAGCACATTCCAATGCCTGAGCACTCTCTCCCTAAAAAATCTCTTCCTAATCTCCAAGCTAACCCTCCCCTGGCAGAGCTTGAGGCTGTGCCCTCTTGTCCTGCTGCTGGTTGCCTGGGAGAAGAGACCAACCCCCACCTGACTCCAACCTCCTGTCAGGGGGTGGCAGAGGGTGAGAAGGTCTCCCCTGAGCCTCCTCTTCTCCAGGCTGAACACCCCCAGCTCCCTCAGCCTCTCCTCATGGCACTTGTGCTCAGTCCCTTCACCAGCCTCGTTGCTCTTCTCTGGACCTGCTCCAGCCCCTCAATGTCCCTCCTGAGCTGAGGGGCCTAGAACAAATAGATCCTTAAACCTTATATCCATGAATTCTGCTCTTTTGAGCATATTTGTCAGCTTGTTAAAAAGCCCAATTTGTGAAACAAGCATACACTGTGAACTTATTATACATATGATTTCCCAGACATTAGTGAAACAAAAACCTCTGTCGTTCACTCTACTTACTCCATTTTTTTAAACTGGGCCAGAATGATTGGGGAAGAAGCAAAAGCTTTTGAAAGAGCTCAAATTTACTTCTGAAAAGCTGCTCAGATGGTTCTATCCTTCAAGTTGTTTCAGTGCTGAGCTTTGGGTGATTAGATAATGAATTCAAACATTATCAATTCTACCCCCACCTCACAAAGTGCTGCTAAATATACCACAGATAAGAACATCACACACTATTTCATAGGCTCGAATCACTTTCAGATTAAATGAAAGATTAAGGATAATTACAGCCAGCACTTGTTGGAGGTTAAGCAATGGTGGGCAGATCATCTCTACACAGCACTCATGACATCAGCCCCACACTTCCCAACAGCTATGGCTGTTATGGAAACAAAACACCACAAATGCTAGAAAGTGCAACATGAAGTAACATTCTTTGGGTTTGCTCTTTTCTTTAAATGCATGTTAGGGTGGGAAGATAAAAAAGGTTAGCACTGGATCACAGCTGGGAATGGAAAAATTGAATTCCTTCACTGTAATCAGAAAACAATCTAGGGGGAGAGATTCCAAAAGTTTTTCCTCTTAACTTGACAGTGGAAGGAATGGCCCCTGACATATGGTACAAGTCTTAAGGCTTTATCCCAGAGGGAAAGGTTTGCCTTTTTGGAATTACAGTCTCCTAAACCCTGCCCTTGGAGAACCAACCATCCAGGGGTGTCTGTGCTGGCCTTTGCTCAGCTGCCTCCACTCAAGGCATTTTTCAAATTCAGAGGGAAAAGTGGGGGGAAAAGATCATCAAGTCCAAGCTCATCACACACAGGTAGCTATGAACAGCTTCACTTACAGGCTGATCTGGTCCATCCCCTCCAAGCACACGGAAGCCAAAGCCTGACTCTTGTTTTCGCAGGAAAACATCCAAATCTCTTGTGTTTGGAGCTAAGGAAAAACAACATTTCAAAAGGTGTAAGGAGCTGGGTGGGATTATTGAAGGATTATGCTGTGCTGGTGCCTTCTCAGTTGTCTCATTGACAAAACAGTAACCAGAATAATCAAACAGTCAAATCTTCAGTGACATTCTCTTTCCAAACTGGAAAAATCAGTTTTGAAAGGAGAAATCACAGCTACATTCTGTGTAAAAGTCAGTTTAACACAACTCAGAGCTATTTCCATAACCTCTGAAAAGGGCAGGTTTGCTGCAGAACTAGCTCATCCTTGAGGCCATGTCTGTGATTAACTGTTTTATTGCAAATATGCTTAAAACATATTTTATTGGGGTTTATTTTTTGTACAAAGGTGTGCCACAGCTTTCTAATTTCTGTATGAATTAGGCATTAAAATGCTTTATCCACAGGAGGTTAAGAATCTCAGTAACAAAGTCTCAGCAGCTTTAGCACCCATAAGGCAAGGAAGAAATTCCTTGGTAATTGAGTTGCAGATGAGGTACTCACGTTTATCTTCATACAGAGTCTTGGATTTCAGGTAGACTTCTGAAGGGTCCAGTTTGGGAGAGCCTGATCGCACAGCAGAGGGTGGGAAGGGCATGGGCTGTGGGATGGGATCACTCACAGCTTCCAAACTCCCTGAACTGTCCTGCTTGTCCTTCTGAAACAGCCCCAAAAACTCCATATTAAAATCAAAGCTGAACTGAACTCGTGGGTGCAAAGACAATGAACAGCAGGAAGTGACACAAGGGAATAGGGGAATAAAATTACGACCCAAGGCAGCTTTGCCAGTGGATGTGTCTGAGCAGAGCACTCAAGTCTTCCTCACTGGGACAGAGATTTCTACTGGAGATTGGGCTTAGAAAGAGGGTTTGAAGTGACTGATGCTCAGAGAGGAGCAAAGCTAGGCAGATCCTGCTGGTTGCTGACACATGGGCTGAAGTGGAGCGAACAGGATCAGGTTTGGAGAAGACCCTGACCCCTCAGCAGGCACCTGTGAAATCCTGGACCACAGTCCAGCACCGTGGGCACACACACTGCTCCACAGGCACTGCCTCTTCCCTCTGCCAAGCACATCCCCACGAGCACCAGAGGTGTTCCCTCCACGAGCTGTTTGCTGTCCCAGGGGCAGGAGGAACACACCTGGGCAGTGTGAAGCATTACCAAGCCACAATTTGTCTTTCCATGATCTGAGAGCTGCAACACTCCCACTGGTATTTCACCAGGAAAGGACACCAAGCATTCTTGTGGCATCTCACCCGAATTTATGCACCAAAGTAACTCTAAACACTTACTCTGGGCTGAAAGCAGCCTGGAAAACTGGCACATGGCAA